GTTTAACTGTTATATCCTTATATATTGCCCTGTATCCCTCAGTGCAAATGGCTATTCTGATTTAACCACGTATCCACAGTTGTTGTCGCTACGCCACTGACGCTGTGTTTATGTACACACTGCACACTGATATGTGCTATGATTTAACTGTTATGTTATTTGTTATTTAACTGTCGCTGACACAGTTTAAAACTAGACTAAAGACGTGTCTCTTTAGTCAAGCATTCACATAATGCTTACCTTTTAGCCCTCTGCTATGCCATACGGAACCGTTTGCCACTGAAACTGCTTAACGCACCAGTGGGGCTCGACAGCCTTATAGACAAACGGGTCGGTCCGTATGGTTGCGGTTGGGTTGCGGAGAGTTTGGGTTGCGGAGAGTTGTGAGATTATGGTTTTCTAACACCTACTCCCGTGTAATGGAAATCATTATGAACATCAGCTATGCTAATTATTTCCCATCTGCCTTTCTGCTGTTATCTCGGGACGCTTGTCCCGAGAAAAATGGCGTTCGTAGGCTCCAGTTTGGTATCCTGCCTCTCACGGGGATTTCGGATGCCTCAACGCCTGTGATGAGAAGACTCAACGCCTGCGAATAGACGACTCAACGCCGGCGATATGTTATCCCCTAAATATTACATGATTAACTAAATGTATTTTTTTCCAGGTACTCTCTGATATGCACTTACTGTAAAGCTTCTTTAAAACCCTATGATTGTTAGCCAGAGGAGAACTGGCCCCTGACTAGCCTGGGTTCTCCCAAGGTTTTTTTCTCCATCCAATCTGATGGAGTTTTGGTTCCTTGCCACTGTCGCCTTGCTTTTGGCTTGCTTAGTTGGGGATATTTAATATTCAACAATATTATTGAACTGTGTTGTACTACTTTCATGTTATCACTGTGAAGCTGCTTTGATGCAATCTGTATTGTGAAAAGCGCTATATAAATAAATGTGACTTGACTTGACTTATGCCCTTATATATTGCCCTGTATCCCTCAGTGCAACTGACTATTCTATTAACTACGTAATCACAGTTGTCGCTACGCCACTGACGCTGTGTTTATGTACACACTGCACACTGATATGTGCTATGGTTTATCTGTTATATCCTTATATATTGCCCTGTATCCCTCAGTGCAACTGGCTATTCTATTAACCACGTAATCACAGTTGTTGTCGCCACGCCACTGACGCTGTGTTTATGTACACACTGCACACTGATATGTGCCATGATTTAACTGTTATGCCCTTATATTTTGCCCTGTATCCCTCAGTGCAACTGGCCATTCTGATTTAACCACGTAATTACAGTTGTTGTCGCTACGCCACTGACGCTGTGTTTGTTCACACTGCACACTTATATGTGCTAAGATTTGCGCCGTTATATGCTGCCCTGTTCTTCAGTGCAAATGGCTATTCTATTACCACGTATTCACAGTTGTTGTGCGATGAAATGACGCTGTGTTTACGTGCACTCTACACACTGATATGTGTTCATGATTCATGCTGCTATAAATTGCCCTGTATCCTTCAGTGCAACTGGCTATTCTGATTCACAGTTGTGCGATGCCACTGACGCTGTGTTTATGTACACTGATATGTGTGTGTTATGCTTATGCCACGATATTGCCCTGTACCCTTCAGTGCAACTGGCTATTCTGATTACTACGTATTCACAGTTGTTGCGTTGCAACGGACGCTGTGTTAAGTACACACTACGCACTGTTATGTGTATGATTTACGCCATTATATATTGCCCTGTTCCTTATCCTTCAGTGCAAATGGCTATTCCGATTACTACGTATTCACAGTCTTGCGATGCAACTGACGCTGTGTTACGTACACACCGTACACTGCGTTATGAATTTTGCCGTTGTTGCCCTGTATCCTTCAGTGCAAATGGCTATTCTGATTACTACGTATTCACAGTTGTTGTGCGATGCAACTGACGTGTAGTGTGTTACGTACACACTACACAGCGTTATGTGTGGGGATTTATGCCATTATATGTTGCCCTGTAATTTTCAGTGCAAATGGCTATTCTGACTACTATGCAGTACGTATTCAACAGTTGTTGTGCGATGCAACTGATGCTGTGTTTATGTACAGACTACACACTATGTGTTATGAATTTTGCCTTTGTATTTTGCCCTGTATCCTTCAGTGCAAATAACTATTCTGATTAATACGTATTCACTGTGTGGTGCGATGCAACTGACACTGTGTTACGTACATACAACTCACTGTTATGTGTATGATTTATGCCATTATATATTGCCCTGTTTCTTTCAGTGCAAATGGCTATTCTGATTACTACGCAGTGCGTATTCACAGTTGTCGTGTGATGCAACTGACGCCGTGTCTATGTACACTCTACACACTCCGTGTCTATGTACACTCTACACACTGTATGTGTTATGATTTATGCCGTTGTACATTGCCCTGTATCCTTCAGTGCAAATGGCTATTCTGATTACGTACACAGTTGTTGTGCGGTGCAACTGACGCTGTGTACACGCTACGCACTGATGTGCTATGTTTGCGCCGCTAAATATTGCCCTGTATCATCAGTGCAACCGGCTATTCTGACTTACTATGTATTCACAGTCGATGTCGCGATGCCTCTGACGCTGTGTTTTTGTACACACTAATGTGACTATGCTATCGCGTTGCCCTGTATCCTTCAGTGCACCTAGCTATCCTATCTAACTGTGCATAGTCACAGTTTGTCGCTACGGCGACTTGCGCTGCATCTGTGTCCACACTGAAGCGTTATGCAGTTATGTTGCTAACGTAACTGACCATTATGTGAACTGTGCATATTCATGCAGTCTCGGTCGCTTCATCGACTTGCACCGCATTATACACTCAGATGTTTGATATGTGCACACTGATGGGTAATGCTGTTATGTTGCCCTCTATCCTTCAGTGCAACATCCAGCTATCCTATCTAACTGCATATTCAGTTCTGTCGCTATGGCGACTACACGGCACGTACAAGGACGTGTTTTTGCTATTTTGTTGCCCTGTTTCCTTCAGTGCAAAACTAGCTATCCTAATCTAACCGTGCATATTCACAGTTCTGGATGTATGTACGTAAACGGATGTGTTATGCTGTAATGCTGCCCTGTTTCCTTCAGTGCTGCTAGCCATCCTAATCTAACTATGCATCTTAGTTTCTGAAAAATGCTGTACGTGCATGTGCTACGCTGTTATATTGCCCCGTTCCTATCAGGGCAACTGGTTATTCTGTGCAAACTCATATATTCACAGTTGTAGCTACAGTTATGACTGTTTGTTTTCTTACTGAGGTGCTATGCTATTATGGGGCTATTTTCTAACTGCGTATATTCACAGTTGTCGTCGCTACGGCCACTGGCACTGTGTTTATGTACATTCAGTTATGTGTTGATTTGCACTTCTGTACATTGGCTATAGAACATCGGCTATGTTCTACAAGGTGGCACCCCAGCCCCAAGCTGTGGAACCTTCTTGTGTGTCCGCTGCTGGGTCCTTAGTTGAGCAAGACACTTCACACTGACAAGTGCTGAGACGGAGCTCTCCCTAAGATGGCCTTGCCACCGGCTCTCGCCCCAGCGAAGCACTTGGAGACTTACGCTCATTCTAGTGAATGTTGTCGCATTGTCTCGGACCTGATGACTGCAGCGTCACTCCCAGTCCGATACCTAGCTACGTTCCGAAGTCGCTTACACCGTTCAGAGCACAGGTTGATCCCTGCCCGCCTTATCTGCTGAGTTTCAGCCTCGCATGATGCCGATGCTCAAAGTGATGTTGGCCCTGTAAGGGATTTGTGGATGTACGTGGATCACTTGGCAGCAGTCTACCAGCTGTTTGTGTGCTTGGTGGATGGTACTAGGGACGTGCTGTTTTATACAGAGACTCTCTCTGAATTCGATGCTTTAAATGGTTGCTAAATGCCTACGGGATTTAGGTATGCTGGCTGTCTTCTCAGAACACATTCGCCAGGGTTCCAAGTTTGATGCACCACCTTAGCGTCGTGGGTTCGGTGAGTTTTATTAATGTACTCATGAAACTGTTACCACCAGCTGTGCAGTAGTTTGTATTGCAGAGTTACCATTGCTGCTAACTCTGTGTTATGACTATGAGGTTACATAGCTGTTTCCACATTACGCAGTAGTTCCAACGTACTGTTAACTCTGTGTGTGGCTTAAGGTTATGCAGCTGTCACCGCTATGCCGTCGACACTGTGTTAGCTCTTGTGCCCGAGTGCTTATGGTATTCTGCTGCCCTGTCCAGTGCAGCCTTCGCCTCATTGCAGTGGATGCGCAACTTGGTAAGCCGGAGCAGACGTTGGTCTAGTTTCGCCTATCAGTTTTGAGTGCTCCTAGCGGCGCTGCTGGCTTAGAACTGTTGTTCCTGTGGGAGTGTAGCTTGACCCCGTTCAGGGCTTATCTTCACTGCGCTCACGGCGGGATTCTATACAGTTCCCATATACGTCAGTATGACGTAATGTCGAAGTGACCGCCTTGAAAGGGAACGTCTCCGGTTACTATCGTAACCTCGGTTCCCTGAGAGGCGGGAACGAGACATTACGTCAACCGCCGTGCTCGCCGTTTGATCAGCTGTGCTAGCGTTCAGTCTTGATTCTGACGTAATTGTCGCGCCCATGCTATTTTATACTGCCCGCGGACCGGTCAGCATTTGCATGTTTTGCGTCAATTGGCCAGCTGTCTCCAGCTGGCGTTATCCTATAAGATTTCAGTGAAAATGGAGAAGGGAGGAGTTCCCATATACGTCAGTATGACGTAATGTCTCGTTCCCGCCTCTCAGGGAACCGAGGTTACGATAGTAACCGGAGACGTTTTCTCTCTCTCTCTTTCGCATGTTTGCACGTGTGTAGCAGCACTGACGTCAATGAAGGACACCTTTCTCAGTGACACACACACACACGCGCGCACACAAAGGAGTGTTGTGATTGGCTAGAAGAGACATGGAGGCGGGATCAATCTTCGATCCCAGTCTTCTCATTGGTCAGAGCGGTACAGCATGTGACGAGTCAGAGCATTAAACTTTTCTGTCCGTTCCGCTCGCTTGACACAGACAGAGACACACAGTCAGGCTGTTTACTACAGCATTCTGCTGCTTTACACAGAGCAATTCCAAAGATACAACATGCAAACGACACAAAGACACTAGTTCAGAAAGAAAAGGTGAGTAGATTTCTGCATAATTGTGTCGTTAATATTTATTTCATTTGTTTTTCCTAGAGGGCAGCAAAGCAGAACCGAGTTCCCACCTAGAAATACGGTTAACGCGATTGTGCGCTTTGTGATCCTTCACGTCGTCACGCATAACCGAGCGTTTAATCTTGAACATATGCTTTGCTATAATGTTAGTGGATTCATAGTGTGTTTTCATTAGCGCTTTGTCTGTCCTCGCGCAGCTGTCACTGCGGATGTTCGTGCGCTCGTGCGTCACTGTAATGTCGTCACGTGACTCATTATTGTACTGCAAACTTCAACTGGCTTTGTGATTGTGGCAAATTCCAGTCACCGAACCAGTTATCTAATCGTGCATTTAATCATTAATTTCCCGAGACATTTGAGAAACGAATGCAGAAGGTATATCCAAACAATATTTACCTGTAACATTATGCATCGCTCGAGCCTTCTCTAAGTTCGTTTACATTTTAGATGACGTCGGGTGACGTAACATCATCGTTTGTTTACGCGTCAACAAAACGCGAACGAGTCCTTTTCTGCCAAGACCAAATGATCACAAGCTAACCAGACATTTCTGTTTATCTTTGAGCAATAACGACTTATGTGGTATCATATTCATATTTTTACTATTTTCTATAAGTACACACTACACAGATGACCTGCAAGTGTGCAGTGAACAACAACACACCTGTGCAGATGCATCCCATAATGCAGTGCGCTCAAACTAACCTTGCATTTCCAGTGTGATGAATGAACTAGAAGTAATATGGGCCATGACTTGTAACATTTCTTTCTCTCCCAATTTAGCGCTGCATTATACAATAATTTGTAACACTGTGCAGTTAACAATGCACAAGTACGTGCTCTGTTCGGACCATAGACACTGTACACACTATTGTTCAGGCCAGGGGAGCATAGGTTTGGCTGGTTAGCTTTGGCAGTTACCCGCTGCTAGTAAATGTCAAACTCATCATGTGACCAAAACCTCTTTCTACATTAAACCTATGAATCGATCCTTGTATTCTGTGTTCGTTCATTGGCCAGAGGAGAATGAGCCTGGTTTCTCCCAAGGTTTTTTTCTCCACTGTTTTCTTTTAGAGCCGCTGATCAGCTTAAATGAACTGTTTGCATCGTTGAATCACTCTCCTGTTATCACTGTAAAGCTGCTTTGGAAAAAATCTGTATTGTATAAAGCGCTATATAAAATAAAGGTTACTTGACTTGACTTCTGACTTTGTTTAACCAATGAACAGGGTTTTTTAGGGTCCTTAAAAGTGACATAGCCTTGTTTTCCCCTGGTTAGACTGCTGTAATAACGGGCACTGGTGACTGAATGGCAGCTAATAGCCTTTGTCAATGGAGGTCAGTAGGCTAATGTCTGAACCTGCGCTGCGGTTTAAATACTCTTTTTCCAGTGACGTACCAACTTAGGGCAAGACACCACAGATAAATAGGGTCAAAACAAAACTAGATTTCACCATACTTTCCAAGTTAAATAATCACAGAACATTAAGACAATTTAACAGTTTTTTTTAAACGTAATGTAAAAAATATGCTAGTTGAATTAAATATGCGCTGATTAGCATACATTTCCAGAACAGAACGGTTCAAAATTGTTTCATTTTGTTGACATGTTTTTACAGATAGGATTTTGGATTTTTCTTCACCACCTCAACAGCCAGAAAAATATATTCTCACCATGTTTTTAGGAATAAAATGTTATATACGAAGAAACCCCTCTGTAAAAAAAACCTTCAAATATTGATGGGAATATGTATGGTTTGGTATGTAAGTGCTGCTGAATTGGAAAATGACCTAATTGAAATCTACTGACGCAAATAGATAAAAGTGTCATAACCTAAACACTTAAATGTGTATTTTGCATGTTTTCGTTCCACTTGTCCAGAACACGTTATAAAAGATCCCCGCACATGACAGCGGACAAACATGTACATCTCAAAATTAAACCAAAATCTCAAAATTAACCAATTCATGAAATAATTGTTTTACCTGTAGTTTCTTGCCATAAAGCCCTTTTAGTAATAAATAAATATGTATTTCTGTCCCATGACAAAGAATTTGTTCCCTCATTGTAGTAAATTGTGGCCATGTTGTACTAATTCGTTCCCTCGTTTTAAGTAAAACATGCAAAGCAACAAATTATTACAACGTGGTCAAAAATGTATAAAATGAGGTAATAAATACTTAATTCGTTACCGCAATATATAGGCCTATATATTGCCATAAAATAGCCCAAAATCTCAAAATTAACCAATTCATGAAATAACAATTGTTTGCATAAAGTTCTTTTAGTCATAAATAAATAAATAAATAGATGAAAGACACTTTCTAGCAGTTTCCTCTGTAAAAACAACATAGGAAAAGTGTTTGCTTAAAAACATCTTTTAGCAGTGATATACAAAACTACAGTAGTCAACATTTGAAGTGGATCAAAACCTTTCATCAAAGTGAACGAAACCCGCTCTTGTCTCAGGACAACTTTGATTCACTTTTTTGATCCACTTCAAATGTTGACTACTGTAGTTCACACAAAAGTTGCATGTGTGCTTTTCTCCGAAGTGCTTCACACCCCTCATGACCCTCTTGCCCCACAGATGGAGGACGTGGCCTCAGCCCCGGCTCTCGCAGGCCCGTCCCAGCCCACGTTCCCCCGCCCGTCGGCCTCCGAGCGCCGCAACCGCAAGTCCGGCACGGCCAACATCTTCCAGGGTGTGAACCTGCGGCAGCTGAAGCGGCTCTTCCAGGCGGCGGGCGACCCGGACGCGGACCAGAGAGCCCGCATGGTGTGGGGGAACCGGAGAGCAGAGGACGAGGGCGACCGGGAGGAGGAGGCGGAGGACGGAGGCATGGCGGAGGTGGAGACGGGGCTGGCGCAGGCGCTGGTGGGGCTCAGGGTCCGAGCGAGGAACAGAAGCGGCCTCAGGGTGGAGTCTCATAAAGACACCACGGGAACGAGATGGGTCCGAGCGTTTGGACACCTCAGGTGAGAGACACTGAAACTGCTGCATCAGAACAGTATTCATTATAGTATTTTCTTTTGTTGAGTAATGTAAGTATTTTTGCTGAGAATTTAGTCCTCAGTCGTACACACTCAAACTGACATGATCTAAAGGCTATTTGTGGTTTTGTTAACTCTCACTTTGAATCATTGTAATGCTCGTATACCGAATTGCAATTCCTTCAGGAAGGCACATTAAGTTTCATTAGCAGATGAAATGCAACTAAAACTGTCAATGAATGCATATTTTTTTGGGTGAATCTCACAAACCACGATCAGGTCACATTATACCTCAAAATCAAAAGATAAACAATAAGATGACATATTCTGTATGAAGCAAATGAAGCTTACTTTAGGAGAATTTCTCCTAAAAACAATGCAAAAATAATTATTACTTAAAAATGCAAAAATATTGATAGATTTGTTTTATGTAATGTATTTATGTATAGAACTATTTTAATAATATATATTATTTATGAAAAAAAAACAATACTCATTCTTGTTTCTTGCAATGTAATAATAATATAATAATAATATTTATATCAGTAAACTATTTTTTAGGTTAAAAAACCCAAACAAACCTTATTCTCATTACTTGTGATGCAGAAATAATAATACTACATTATTTATATATCGGTTAAGTATTTTAAACATCATATTGGCATTTGTTTACTGCCTTTATGCTGATTGCAATAAAAAAATATATCGTATTGCCGAATTTTAGTTTACAATCCTTTATTCCAATTTCAGAATAATAAGAATTAAAAAAGAAAAATTGGGTGAAAATGTGCTTAAGTGTCATAAAAAAAGTTGCAAAAATACCTTTTTCAGTTGTTTTTGGGGTTATGTGACTCGGACATGATTTTGCAGGGTTCATCCTCCTAGATTTACTTAAATGTCTATAAAGCTGAAATTCTGATGCACATGGCATCTACACCAGCTTCACTGCCACTGTGTGTGTGTGTGTGTGTGCATTAATGGAAACATGCTAATCTGAACAAATGTAGGTCACGAGATCAGCCACTCAACCCTGGCACGCTAAAGACCCTGCAATCAGACTGGAGAAACCACGGGTCACACACCTGTGCACATTAGATAGTGCATGAGAATACTGTAATCATATAACTCAATTCACATTTATTTGTATAGCGCTTTTCACAATACACATCGGTTCAAAGCAGCTTTACAGAAAATACACGAGTCCACATTACAATTTAGAGTGATCTGTCTAAGTTATGCATTTCAGAAATGTACACATACAAAATCACAGTTAGCTAAAAATTAGTATTAATTTAAACAATGTAATAATTTAAGGCAGAAACAATGAGCTCATTGAAGCAATGAATAACGATTTTGACATTTTTAAAAATGTAGCATTGGTATATAATACAATGATCTGCATCTAATAAGTTGATGCATTATTGTTTAATCATCCATAAGGATCAACGAGTGCTCGCTGGGACCGGCGTCTGAAGTCATAACCGGAGAAGATAAAGACGACACTGATAACGGTGATCCGTCTGCTCTGGGAGCCTGTGGGGGACAGAGCCCTTCTGAGGCCGGGTCATGTGATCAAGGGGACTTCCCTGAGGAAGAGGCTCAGGCGCCCTCGGCTGGCCCTCGGTGGAGCTGGAACGCCGCCCCAGAGAAAGATCCCGAACGCTACCTGCACCGGATCCGGCACTGATGCCGAGAGCGGGAAGTGGAGCAGTGTGGGATTACCGAACGCGTTCAATCAGATTACAGCCTGAGAGACTCTCCGCCAGCGCAGATTTACTTGAAGCTGCCGCCTCAATCAAACACTAGTCTTAATCGAGCAACGGTGAACACTACAGCACCTGACACTAACAATAATCCCGCAGGATAACAGTCCCCCTGTGCCCTGATGAACTGCTCACGGGTTCAGGCCACTCGCACATCCTCGGACCCGATCGCACAACAGCAGTCAAACACTAGTAGAGGGTTAGTTCACTCAAAAGTTAGTATTTATACTCATGCTCATGTTGTTCCAAACCCCAGAATAGATATTCATGCTGCTCTTTTCTACAGAACCCGAGCGAACGCTGTTGAGCTCCAGAAAATGACACAATCACAGCGAAACTGGTTAAAAATACAGCTCATGCATCATGAGTCAAGTCATGTGACTTCAGGAGATTTGTAATATACTGCATGAATCATAGACTATTTTAAACTGCCTTTTTTGGTCCTTTTTCTTTTTTTGTAGGGATGCACCGATATGAAAATTTTGGCCGATAACCGATATTTCTTTATATTTGAAAGCCGATAACCGATATATTGGCTGATAAATATAAATCAAAATTTTTATGCAATTTTTGAGAGTCTGATTACAAAAACAAAAGTCTCACCATTAAAAGCCATGTCCCAAGCACACCATTATAATGCTCTCATTATGATTTTATGTAGCCGATATGACGGACTTGCGCTGCACATGTTGCACTGACCTATATTTTCCTTTTTTTAAGTGATTCCAATCATATTTCAAGCAATTTAAAAACCATCGTGTTGAACAGTGCGCATCTGAAATGTCTCAGCTGAAGGAAATAATACATTATCGGCTTTAATATATTGGCCAAATTTTCTAATCGGGCCGATACCGATAACATTAAAAATGAACATATCGGCCCAAATCCGATATGGTGGCCGATATATTGTGCATCCCTAATGTTTTGAGTCTCATGGCGTTTGTGCTCATTGTAATTATATTGAAAACAGAAACCGTACTGGTATGGGACAACATGGGTGAGTAAATGACAAAAGTAAAAAAAATTCTCTTTAAATGCAGTGATTTAAGTCTCACTGAAGCTTCCAGAGCCCCCATCAGCTTTTATGTACCGCTTATATGAATGTATGGGGCCGAAGAGTGTTGGATTTCTATTATTTAACGATATATGCTTGTATGGTTTCCTCCAAAACACTAGTTTCTCAGTAGTCCTTTTTTTTCAGGGAGTGTTCTGCCTTCCAGTGGTATTTAATGTTCAGTATCTAAAAGTATAGAAGAATGTATTTGCATTTGCTGCGACAGTGCAGTTCTCTTTGCATCAGTAGTTGTTTTAGCCTGTGGTAAATATGTAAATGACGCATTAGTATAGAGGTATGCTGGACACTAATCATCAGTGCTGAATATTTAATGTCTTCTTCTGTCACTTCGACAGACATTTAGAAAGCAATACAGATGAAAACATGTAGCCTAAATCCATTTCTCTGAACACTACAACATGCACAAGAACAAGAGTTATTTTTTCTCCTCGTCACTAAAGCTGGAACTTCCAATTAAATAGTTTTTGAAATGAAACTCGAGTCTGTTCTTTTATTGAGTATCGCACTGTTATAGCTTTAGCATCTTTCATTAAATACATTACATACAAATTATACAGTCCATTGTCACGTTTTAAGGTCAGTTTCTTTGACACATGTGAATACACTTTTTAAAAAATTATAATATCTTCTGATTTTCAAAACGAAATCAAACTATGAAGACAAAGAAGGATGATGTCACCGTGAGAATGGAACGTTTCAGTGTTTCTGCACATGCTCAGTCGAGCTCCGGGGAGACTCCGCCTCCAGACAGACGCGTGCACGTAAAAAATGTAGAAAAATATAATGCTAACGGGAAAACAAGCAGATTAAGTGAGTGACTTCAATGATTGTGAGGAAAAAACAAAGCTAACACAAAGGCAAGAAAAAAAACTGAATGAGAGTTGAGCAGTAGTTCCAGTCGTCAAGCGTCGAGGTTTAACTACAGCAGAAAGTTTCTCCTTCACTGTCTTACTGACATGCAAGTCATTCTGCAAGTTCATACGGGGTAACAGTCCACAAGGCAATGCTCTCCTTCAGAAGTGTGTGTGTGGAAAAGGCTTCTCGTCAATCACTGGATCTTTTCCCACTTTCATTTGTTCCCAAAATGCCAATGACAAACAAAAATGCAACTAAAATCAGGTTGCACATACACACACACACACACACAGATGAAAGCCCGGATCACCACCAGGTGAAGAAGGGTCTTCTGCTTTGGAAGCTCTGCGTGTAGGACTCGCTGTTGGCGCGCTGCGGCGCTCGTGCCGTCTCCACGATGACCGGCGGCATCTGCACCAGCTGGAGCGGCGTCTTGCCTTCCCGCAGCGCCTGGCTCAGATTCAGGATCTAGAGGAACAGGACGTGAGCATTGAAAGAGATGTCGAGAATGAGAGTTTAAGCTCATTTTTTGGGCGATTTTAGGCGGAATAGTTTTTAGAGTTCACATGAATCCTTCTTGCAAACTTCAGTGCAAGGACATTTTCAATGTTTAATTGATGTCTTATGGCCGTATAATAGGGCCAAGCGGATTAGCTAAAAATATCACAATATTTTTTTCCATATCAATTAATATCCAAAGGCCCTGTTTACTCCTGTTATTAAGGGTGTATTCACACCAGGAAAGTCCGATAGTTCACTTGCTTTGGTCCGGACCAAATAATTTTTTTTTTTTTTTTTTGGTACGGTTCGCTTTCACACTGCTCTTTTTGCAAGTGAACCAAAATTTGTAAACAAAACCCACATGTGTGCTAAGGTCGTCCATTCATTGGACAACGATTCTCAAGTAGGGAAATCAGGAAGTGCAAAAAAGGCTTAACGTAAATTAACGCAGCATCATCCTTGTATTGTAACTATCGTTATTATATGAACTGCAAAAGCTTTTTTTGCATCTATGCGCGATTAGACTAAAGAGAACGCTCTGTGTGTGAATGTCCTGATGCACACACTCATTCATTCATTCCATTCCAATGATGCACACACGACGCGCAGAAAGACGCGCAACAGATGTAATGTAGTAGGCTACAACAGATCACTTTCCCATAACGCAACTCCGACTACGGAAGCCTGTTAACTCAAAGGCGCAGTGCTTTCTTGCAATTGGGTCGGTTCATGTTCACACCGTACCAGAGTTCGTTAGGAACCGTACTGGGACCACCTCTTCAGCTGGGTCTCGGTTCGGTTGTTTGGTCCGCACCCGAGTTCGATTGCTGTATTCACACCTGCCCAAAAGGTCCGCACCAAGGGGGGAAACGAACTAGAGTTCGATTCAATCGAACCAAACAAGGCAGGTGTGAATACACCCTAAGATACGTTTTGGTCGATTGGATCACAAGTGGACGACACTAAATACAGGTGTAAACAGGGCTTTGAGCTCGTCCACTTTAAACCATTTCCAGAGGAAGTTGAAAACACAGTCGACCGGATTGCTTTCGTAGTGTAAACGCTCATGTGGTCGAGTGTTCAAACAGCCACAAAAGACCGTCTTCTCTCCGTCTACTGATCTAATGCGTAACATTATGAGGAGCTCCAGCCAGACGGGGTTTAAACTATCGGCTGGAGACTCCAGTTTGGTTTTAAAGGAGAATTCCGGCGCAAAATTAACCTTGGGGTTTATAACACATGGGTACCGAGTCGACTGTTCTCTGGGATGTGTTTTCATGCTAATCGAATGTACCCAGTTTTAGCTCAAACCGCTGATTAGCTTATAACGCTATATGGGGCAAAGAGTAAGTAAAAAGATATCGCTAGTTAATAGTTACGCATACTTTTATTATTACTATAGTAAGTACATGTCGTAACATGTAACTACATCACCTTAAAATAAAGTAATACCTCATCAAATTTTAATCAACCTTGTAAAATGTTATGAAAAATTAAATATAGCAATTAATTGCATTTTTATTTTTGTCAAATAAGGTGTCATATAAAATCATATATGATTTTCCTTCAAATTATTATTGTAAATAGTATTTTACTATACAATAGTAATATATTTCTATCATAATTTTAAGACTTTTATTATGGCGGGTTATCATGAAGACTTGAGTTTCAGTGCGTATTTGACGCCAGACTCTCAGAGAGAGATGAAGGCTAAATACTAAATATTACTCAAAAGTTTATTATCGATATTGTGGATTTATTTTTCTCAAATATCAATACTGATTTATTGCCCAGGCCTACCGTATAATGTTACTATAAAGCAGATTAGTGTTTTCAGTGTCTTTAAACACAACTGAAAAGATGTTAAAGACTCACCTGCCCCCTCATTACTGAGACCTGCTTCTTGAACTGTCCTCGGTCAAAACCCGGATCTTTCTGTCAAAGTTAATGCAAGTATAAAGTCAATACTGAGCATTAATTTAATAAAATATACAAACATATCGGCGAGTCCCCAGCTAAATGTAATGACTTGCCTTAAAAAGCTCATATAGATCTTCCTCGAGGTCTTTGATGAAGTTTGGGTCGGAAAACTTGGGAAGAACTAAATCTCGGATCTCTTGGGAAAAGGCAACTTTAGCCTGTGGAAGCCACGCCCAGTAAAACGGATCTACAGGAAAACACATGTTTGAACTACAACAAATGAATGAAAACACCTCAAGTTGCAGTGATGAAGTTGGTATTTTAATACTTCTCATGAATATTACAATGTGATTGGCCAGTAGATGATCATGTGTTTGTGAAGTGGGTGATGATTGGCTTACAGGCTCTCCATGAATCCGGGTGTTTGAGAGGGAAGGCCAGACCATTGTCAATGGCTGCCAGTTTAATGATGGGGTCCTTCACTAACACCCAATCACTGTCCTGAATGATAAACACAAACACCAACATTGACACACAAGAACGGGAAGGAAAATCTCCCATTAATCTCTCAAATAGCAGCTGGTTACTCACCCTGTTGCTTGACGTATCCATCGGATAGTCATATTTTATGAGCCAGTTGTCATTTCCTCGGTCTACAGATCCATGCAACCACACAAACACAAACAATGTGTGTTAAAATAAAGACAATACATCCTCTGGTGCTCTTCGCGTGTTTGATTTTATATTTTTAGGGGATTTTTTTATACTAAATTATATTTACGCTGTATTTATAATCCATTTATTCACTTTTTGAGCATAGACCTGAAAATTATTTTTTTTAACTTAAACTGTCGTAAATCTTGAATGCTTTAGAGCAGGGGTTCTCAAACATTTTGGAGCCAGGGACCCCTTACAGGGGAAAAACATTTTCAAGGACCCCCTCATATTTGTAACAGTGACTGAGCCTAAAGTTAATGTGGGAGCGGTTAATGAAATATTTTGACACAAATAGTCTCCACCCAGGGTCATATGCAGGGTTTTCTAAATAGCATACTGAGGTCCCAAAAGTGATCTTGCTAGGGGGGTTCGGGGGCATGCCCCCCTGAGGAATTTTAGATTTTCTTGATCTACACGTGCATTTTAAGGTGTTTTTAAGGCCAAAAATTTTACTTTTTTCTTGATATACCCAGAAAGAATGGAAGTGCAATGTGACATGTCCCATAGGTGGGGCACATTGTAACATGACCATATGACAGATTAAAATGTTATCTGATCTAATCAAACAAATATACAAGACAAACAAAAATATTTTCTCAATAAAATACAATTATTAACTTTTTCATATAAAATAATGGCATTTTAAAATAATTAAAAATAAACTAATTTTTGAGTTTGACAACGAACACACAGCTATACAACATAGTTCAAAACATATTCATTGTAACGCGTGACAACATGACCCACTTGCACAACTGGGATTTACGTTGTGGCGTTGTATATTTCCTTTCCCGGTTGATACTTTGCAAACTGATTGTTTCTGTCGTTCGTTTAAAACTTCTATCTAAAACAGCTGTTTAGTTTAGCGATTTACATCTTATCTCGCTCTTTATGACCGAATAACTGAAGCGTCATGCGGAAATTCGCGCTCGGCTTGCAGCTTCTGTGAACATAAACCCGCCTACTTTGATTTAATCTCCGACTCAAACATTGACATTGACGAGCGCTGTTAGTCTCCTGAAACCGCTCAGATGAGAAGGTCAGTTATCATCGCGATGTTTAATATCCTTGCAGCACCTAATTAGAGTTAATATTAGGCAATTATTTCACAACTTTCATTATACACATAGAAAAATTACAGAGGCCTCAATTGAGGGACCTCAATTGTGGGTATACGACCCTGTCCCTATGCACAAATTTATAATTTACTGTATTTTCCAGAAAATAAGTTGCACCTGAGTGTGTAATACTTTGTTGCGTTCTTGAGGCGTAGTAGGCCTACTTCCCCTCACGATCCACAGCAAATCCTTAAATTAATGGTATTCAGAACAAAACGAGAATGAAAAATAATAATATTAATAGATAATAATACAAATAATAATAATAATAGTATACAGACAACATTTATTTAAAACATCAAGTCTAAACTAATTAAGTTGAATCGAAACTGAAACTGCAGACGTTGGGCTCGTGCATCTCTCATTCGGTCCAAAGTTTCCATATTTGCGATGTAGCCTAACATTTGGATGCTTAACTATTTATGTAAAGAAAGCTTTATGCTTCAGTCCCAATATAGGCCTACAAGTATCAGCATCTTCACATTTGGAGAAATGAGATTGGAACAACAGCAAGTCGACAGTATATGATTGACCGTCACTGCCTTCATAGTGTACAACAGACAAATTAAATTAAGCAGAACTTTTTATAAGTTCGGTGATTATTTTATTTTGATAATGAACAGGTTTTGATGTCAAATTAGCAGTGCTAGAACTGACATATTGTGCGCGCACACGAGACGCCGGCGCGAACACTTGGATTTTTCCTCAGCAGTGGAAACAAAGGAATACTCTTATTTATGGTCATACAGATAAGAGTACATCATTCAAAATGGCAAAGTGTCTATTTTTTATTTGTGTATAATTAAAAATGACTACAAAATGTCATGCCTTTTAAAAATAAAGAACACAACAGGATGCGCGTTCTGCCGTCTCTGTCTCCTTTCTGGCGCACGTGCCCAAAAATCGACCAAAACACAGCGAATACTTGACGCACAGACATAAGAAATATAGATAGATTATCTATCTATAGAAACCTTTAAGAGCCTACTTTTTTATTATTTGACATTAAATGCATTATATAAGTCACTTTGGAATAAATAGCAAGTTTTCAGATGCTAAAGAAAAGATGACTTATAGTCGGGGAAAAACGGTAGGCTGTTATAAATTATTTCGCGGACCCCCTGGCTATAGTTCACGGACCACCAGGGGTCCGCGGACCCCACTTTGAGAACCACTGCTTTAGAGCACAGACTTAAGTTGGATCTCTTTTTAAAGGGACACTTGGCAGATTATTGCTGATGTCAAAAAAAGTGAACATAAAAAAAAGTAACAGCATTTTACATGTATTGTTATGAAAAATGCACAAAAATACTATTTTCAATTTGTATATGAAATATATATTTTCAAAAGTACTTTTACTCTAAAACTGCAAGAAAATTAAAGCCATAAATCTAACAAAGTTGTATTCCAAATTTGAGCTTTATATCTCAAAGAATGAGCTTTCAGTAAGATTTTGTTCGGCTGCAGTACCAAAAGCTTCCACTAGATGAAATTAGTCTCCCATTGATTTCCAATGTGGTCCGCGAGGAGCACAAGTGTGACAAGTTTATTCAGGACCATTTAACCTTTACGAATCATGTCCATGATGTTCACATAGCAAGTGCCAAAACCTTCACCAATTTTCGTACCATTCCAATGAATTAAATCATTCTAAAAAATGAACGAAGAGCACCAGAGGGTTAAAATGTGCTTTTGTCCATTTGTTTGGCCTTTGCCCGTGGTTACCTGTGTTTCTGATTATGTAATCCAGCACTACCAGTCTCTCAAACTGTAGCTGGAGTTGGCGATTAGTGTTTTCGGGTAAAGGCTCGGCCTCGAACCTCCGCAGCCAGAAATCTGCGTCTTTATACCCCTCTACGAACAGCTGGAATGAGCCCACCTGCAAAAGCCAATAGAAACCAGTTCACAAACCTACAACAGCCAACAGAAACTAGCATCACACAATGACGTTAAAATAACAGCGTATAAACCTACAAGAGCCAAAAATGTGTCATCTTCCTCCAGGCAGAAAGGTGGCGCTGTTATGAAGCTTACCTTAGGTGGCAGGCCAATCCGGTGGAAGCGCTGGCCCACCTTGGGCACTTTTTCTAAAGCTAACCTCTTTCCTCTGGACTTCACTCGATCGATGGCACTGTAATTAAAGGTCTCGCTTGCTAAATACACCACCTAAGAGAAAGAGAGCACAGTAGTAGCCTCAGTATTCGAGTTTCTTGCCATATCAGCATCCTCGGCTATTACATGGCAGACACATATTAAACATTTAAGAACATAATACCATAAGTACAAAAACAAACTTAGACCAAACAAAAAAAACAATAAGTAGTACATGTCCAAAATGAATACAACTCAATAAAAGATTATTTTAAAATTTTAAAAAGAAATTTTCTCGATCCATAAATAAGTCCTTAAAAGTTTATCCTGATAAAAAGTGGCGTCTCACAACATTAAATATTGGGCAGTCCAAAAGAATATGTTTTACAGTATTGAAAGAAAGCACAGAGGACGCTTTATATAGGGATGGGTTCACACTTGTAGTTCGGTTTGCTTGGTTCGTTTGGTCCAGACCATATATATAAAAAAAAAAAAAATGTTTAGTCCTGGTACGCTGAGCCTTCACACTGGCATTTTAACACAGAACCTAAAGCAGGGCTGCCAACTTTTGAGTTCAGCTTAGAGTGAGATTTTGGGGGCGGGGCTTGGGTTATGGGGGAGGGGCTTATTGACGGGCGTGGCTTGGTGTGGGGAAAAATACAAACACAAAATCCTTGCATTAGCAGTTCGTGTATTAAGTATATATTGATTGTCAAAGTATTTGGTATCTGTACAGAATTTCTTGGGAGATTTACATTACATTTAATATTTTAATTGACATTCTGTTCTTAGAAAACAATAATTAACATTAACTACTAGGCATGTCCATATTTGTCATCTGGAAATGCTTTTGTACTGTTTTTATGATAAAGTTATGTAAAATAACTGCTCAGTGCTGCAAAACAAACAACTCTGCTATTGCTAACTTAATTCTATATAAACTATATAACAGGCCTATTACCAGCCTAAACTGGATGGAGACAAGGAGCGCCCTGTAACTCACTGACCTGCCTGCGTTCACAATTCACACGGTGCAGATGGGAGGGAGAACGGCTGACTACACAGTCTATGGGAATAAATTGTGTATTTCCCTCACAATTGTCACAAACTCACACTCTCTGTCTGGTCTCCAGAGCCGGTCTGAGCCTTTTGGGGGCCCTAAGCAGAATTTGATTTGGGGGCCCCTACCACTACGCGAAGTCCCCTGTGCTTGACGATTATTGACACAAATGTCACGCAATAATGATACATTTTGAATGAATACAGTAAGGTTATGTATTAATACAAAATAAATAGGCCTACTTAATAAAAAATAGATGCCTACTTAAATAAAAAAGTTTTATCTTTTACTTTACTCTTTTACTAACTCTTTAAAACTTCTTAAAACAAACTGTCTCAAAACATATAAAATAAATGATTTGCTAAAATAATGACAAAACTGAGAAATCAGAAATATAATAAGAGCAAGGGTTCAACAATGACAATTATTGTTGAAAACTGTAAAAAATATTATTATTTCTCAACTGTCTCAATACAGTGTAACTGTCCACTGGGTTGTGTTGCGAAAGACACGCAAGCTCGCTTAATCACCTCTGTGTCGTCGTGCGCGTGCGCGGTTAGGAGCGCGCCGTTAGGAGCTCAACACACAGTCCCGGCGCCATGGGCGGGCATTGGGGGGCCTGGCCCGCCCTGTGAGTCACTAGTGCCCGCCCTGAGCGAGTCCTTACCTTCACCAACTCCACTTCAAGTCCCACCAGTCCTTGCTTGTTTGCACAATATCTTTTTTATCAATTGGCTACTGTTATCAAAAGTTATCCTTTTGAATATATAACTCCTGAATAAAAATAAAAATGTGTTTGGTCTGATTTTTTTTAATTGTAAACGGATTGATTGGTTTGTCGATAGAGAGCGCGGAAATGCATGTGATAGCGGTCTTTTTAAGCGAGTCTTTGAGTCATTCATTCAAACGTTTCGTTCAAACGCCATAGAGAAATGCACATTTCATACGGATTACATGAGCAGGGAGCAGTCTGTAGTCTGTTTTCTTTCGTTTTGAATTGTTCTGTTTAAAAGTAGACATGTCTGTGAGGCGGGCTACCTTATACGCCTACACTGAGTTTCGGTTCAATTGCGACGAGCTCCAGTTCACGCGCTGGCGCCTCCGGTTCGTCATTATCGTCTGCTATATTTACTTCTTATTTATTAAATCCATCCAGGCAATTGGTTGATGAAATATTGATTAAAATTAAGATACAATTAATACAAAACGAAATTCACTTTAAAGAAAGGTTTTGCTTTCTGTTTGATCCGCTTTCAGAGCGCTCACGTCCTAACATTGTTTTTTCCTCATAAATGCGAACACGAAAAATAAAATGAAATGAATATTTTATGCTCTGTGGAGACTACTGTTAGCCTACTCATAATTTGTATTCTGAATACCTAATACGTTGTATTACTTTGAATGAGTGTTTTTGCTTTCGAGGTTTTCTTGATATGTGTTTGGGAAGATGTTTATGTTTTGTTGACATGTCGAGATTTTTCTGTATTATATTTGGTTTTTTTGGCTAAACAGCACAAGACTTTAATTGAGTAACGTTAGCCATTCTGTTTGTGCTGCGTGATTTAAAGAAAAGTGCGCTCTTGCTCACACGATCAGCATGGTGATCTTGTGTTTTCTCCTAAATAAAAGCTCAAGGGTTTATTTCTTACAAGTGAAGAAATTAGGACAAAAGTAGTGTAATTTTCCTATTCTATAGCTTAATATAAAATACGATGTAATGTAGACTGAGACTATAATTAACAAGATGTTTGAGCCCTCTTTAGGTACAAGTCAATGCTTTTTCTTTGTTCAATGTGCACAGTTCATGGGTCGAAGCCGGTTGAAGCTCTTAATTTTGAGCTCTCAATGTGCACCAGATTGATGCATTTAAATTTAAAATGTACAAAATTTTCTTGCGGGGGAACCCCCCTAGGGACAGAGGTCCACACAACATGCCCAATTTATTTCCAATAATTATTCACAGCACCCACTGATGACCTGAAAACACCTCTCAAACCTACTTAAAAAATTAAATCGAAATTTGCGGAGGCAGTGTGTAAACGTACCTTTAGCGTCAGTAGCCTATTATATAATTATTATGCTCTATCGATCATTGCATAGTATCATAATCGATTCTGTTATGATGCAATGAGATTGTTTTCATTTGTGCCCCCCTGAAAAAAATGAATGCCCGTCCGTGAATTTGTGTCTGGCGCCGGGTCTGTCAACACATCTGTCTCGCATGCACGCTCGCTCGCTATAGATTACAGGATATTTTAACTAATTTGCGGTAAAACTTGTCGATCACGAATGGCTGGTAGATCTATAGATAAACAAAACTTATCTTTCAGGCATTTGACCGACCGGGTTGACACTTCAGCGTGAGAAATCGGGGGTGTGGCGTGAGAGCGTGAGAATTGGCTCAATTGCGTGAGTCTCACGGTGAATGCGTGAGAGTTGGCAGCCCTGCCTAAAGGCATAAGGATACGAACATTTGGATGAAATTTACAGAACATCCAAAACAATGGTGTGTACTGGGATAAATGCGCTCGCTGTGTGTGAGTAAACTACATATGATGGTATTTTGACCAGCTGAGAACTCATGAAGAGCTTTTAAAATGTGTAAAGGAATCAAAAGAGCAGCAGGAATCCCTCCGTCACACACACACACACACACACACACATGATGAGAAAAAACAGGAACGCTGGAGGATTCTGTTCCGTTTAGGGTCGCATCTTGCCACATCATGTCCTGTTTTTGGTTTGTTAACATGTGTTTGGTCCGTGTTGTGTTCATATTTCATTCGAACCGCACTTCATTTGGAAGCGGATCGAGTCTCATCCTCTCCGCATCTCGGTCCGCTTGTTTGGTGCATCAGGGTTCAGACGGCAGCGTTCACACTTATTCAAATAAAGCGCACTAACAGAGCAATCACAGGATTCACTTTAATCCAACCAAACATGCAAAGTGTGAATATACATTACACAGTCAAACCAAAATGTATTCAGACACCTTCAACATTTCTCACATTATCACAGATTATTCACTATAGTTTAGAAAATGGTAATAAAATATGGCAAGATCTCAGAGTTATTAAATCAGCTGATATTTCACTGGTTTTGTCCGTCCTTCTGTTAGACTCTCACAGATGAATTATGTTGAATATCTGTCAGCTGTTAAATTTAACTACACAATTAGATAATACCAGTTTAGCTCAAACAATCACCAAGCAATGCTTCATGTTGTTCAGTCTGTGTGTGAAAAGAGCATTAGCAATTAGCAAAACACGGTCAGCTCAAAGTGCCTGAATCATTTTTGGTCCCAAATTTTGGAAACATTTTACTGGTAGTCACTGTATGAAGAATTTTGGGGTATAATATGTCACAGTTTACTTTATTTTGCTCTCCTCACTTACATAAATGAACTATAGTGTCCTGCACACACTAGTAATTAAATTATACCTGGTGTCTGAATGTTGTTTGGTTTGACTGCATACCCTAGGACATGTGTCTTTTCTGTCTACACTTTGCAATAGCGCTGGTGTGTGAGTGTGTGTGAGGTGACCGTTATGTTTAGCCTGTGGTTGACTAGTTTGTTTTCATGCGCGTCAACAACAGGAAGCGAATGAGGTTGACTAACAAGCACGAAACCATCACGACCACACGTTCTCATGTCCTCGTTCACCTCGTTTAGGTGTCAGTGACGATGCCCATGTGTGGGTGATGTTGTTGTCATACCTTGGTGCGTGGCACGATGTTGAGCTCTAGTTTCTGGTCCACTAAACTGGCGCCGGCCTCTGACAGGTAACCCTGATTCAACACCAGACAGTCCCGGCCGAAACAGCACGGACAGCAGAGCTTCTGCAGCCATTTGGTCCACTTGGGGTTCAGCTGGCCGTACGGCTCCTCGTTCTTTGGCTTGTAGACTCCGATGACCTTCTGTTGGGGAAAAAAGAAGATATTTCAGCCAGGTCAGGTTTACTGAAGCGGCACCAGACATCTGAAACACTACACTCTGCTCAAACTGTCTTTCACATGTTCCTCTTTAGCTTTTCAGTGAACAAAACATTTAAAGTCAAGAGAAAAATCCCTTCGACGCTGCCGTAGACTTTATATCTCACATCCAAGGCCCTGTTTACTCCTGGTATTAAAGGGATAGTTCACTTTGGAATAAATTTTTGATATGTTTTAGCTTACCTCAAGGGCTCCCGAGATGTAGGTGTCTTTGTTTCCGCAGAAGTTTCAATTTTTATATTTTTAGGTCAAACCGTTCTTGTCTGTCAGTCATATAATGCAGGTCTATGGTCACCACCTCAAAGAGCATGCACAGAGAAGTCCAAATTAAACATGATTTAATGACTCGTAAATGTAAGTACACATTGATGGCCTACGACACGAAACGAGCGGTTTGTGTGAGAAAATGAACAGTATTTATATCGTTTTTACTAGGGATGGGGCCGATCCGATCCAGTATCGGGACCGATACCAGCGTAATTCACGTATCGGATTTTCCCGATCCAACCTGCGGAGATATCCGATATCCATGAGCCATGTCTGCGCTTTAACGTAGTCTGCTGAAACGACTCCAAAAGTGATTCCCGCGGCCCGCCGGCTAGTCTGCTAGCTGGCTGCAAACTGTGGAATGGATATCCTGAACGGAGGTGCGGCTCAATGAGACACAGAGACCCCCCCTCAGGAAATCCATTCCGCTGTTTGCAGCCAGCTAGCAGGATAGCGTTGAGCTGCCAACATGTTGTGTGGAAATCCTATGGTGGAAATACTTCACACTGGAAACACCACAGCAGAGCAAGACAGCAAAATGCAATGTTTGCAAAGCCGTATTAATTAAACCATTTGTCTGTGATGCATGTTTGCTATTCGCAGTCCAGAAGAGAAAGAGAGAGATCTCTCACGCGGTGCCACAGCGCGCACAACACGACAGCCCATCAGCATGATCGGTGATTGTTGTAAAATGCAGTCTCTACAGTTGCTAAATTGCGGGACGCTTTTAATAATAAAAAAAGCTATTAAAAGCACAAAAATCTGCGCAAGAGAAGCTGTTCCCGCGTCGCGCGCTCCGAAACAGACCGCAACGAGACAAGCACATTATACTTTGGGCTTCATATGCACGTCTAAACGATCAAATGTAGCCTACACAAAAATGTCAAAATGACCGGCTTGGAGATTCACTTAAACAGTTTGTCTAAAATGGACGTAGTTATGGAAATAGTTGGGAGAAAATATGGTGCACTCGTTCTTAAAGGGGAAGCAGTCTAATAAACATGCTGACGATTGCTCCATTACTGAGAATCAAACAACAAAAGGCAAAGAGAAAATCACTCACAGCTCTTGAATGAATAACTTTAGCTTTAATAAGCATAAATCTATCTATGATAAACTTTGCAGTGCTATTTTACTTTTGATTACTTTATTATAATTATTTTTAGAGCATACCTGAATAATGTTAGTAGACCTTCCTGAAATTAAAGCACTGTGTAGGCCTGTATAATGTGTATCTTTGTTTAATTGTCTATCTTTTGTTTATCTATTGTTTAATATATATATATATATATATATATATATATATATATATATTGACATGCATACATACGTACATATCATACTTGCCTGTAGAGAGGAGTTTATTTCAGCATCATATAAAATCAACAATAATGATAATAATAATATTAAAGCAAACACAGCTCTGGTATCGGAAAAGTATCGGTATCGGCCGATATCCAAATTCAGGTATCGGGATCGGATCGGAAGTGAAAAAATGTGGATCGGTGCATCACTAGTTTTTACCTCTTGTAACGACAGCCACGTCCAAGTGATCTGAGGGCGCCGGCGCTTTGGTCTGCGCGAGCACTGGAAAGCGCCGGAAGTGATCTCTCGCGCGGTTGCGAAAAAAATTCAACGTTGTCTGTTGATATATCGAAATCGTCTTCCATTGCGATTTCCTGTATATCTAAATATGTTTAGATCTTCAAAGTGAAAGGTAACACTTCCGAAATCTCTGTGTAAACAATGAGTGACATACACGCGCGAGAGATCACTTCCGGCGCTTGCCGGCGCTCACGCAGACCGAAGCGCCCGCACCCTCAGATCACTTGGACGTGGCTGTGGTTACAAGAGGTAAAAACGATATAAATACTGTTCGTTTTCTCACACAAACCGCTCGTTTCGTGTCTTAGGCCATCAATGTGTACTTACATTTACGAGTCATTAAATCATGTTTAATTTGGACTTCTCTGTGCATGCTCTTTGAGGTGGTGACCATAGACCTGCATTATATGACTGACAGACAAGAACGGTTTGACCTAAAAATATCAAAATTGAAACTTCTGCGGAAACAAAGACACCTACATCTTGGATGCCCTTGAGGTAAGCTAAAACATCAAAAATTTATTTCAAAGTGAACTATCCCTTTAAGATGCGTTTCGGTCAATCGGATCACAAGTGGACGACGCTTAATACAGGTGTAAATGGGGTCTAAAGCGTTTTGAGCTTGTCCACTTCCAGAGGAAGTTGAAAACACATTCATCCGGATTGCTTTCGTAGTGTAAACACTCATGTGGTCGAGTGTGTTCAAACAGCCACAAAAGACCGTCTTCTCTCCGTCTACTGATCTAATGCGTAACATTATGAAGAGCTCCAGCCAGACGGGGTTTAAACTATCGGCTGGAGACTCCAGTTTGGTATGAAGATGAAAAACGTACCAAGCACAATGTTCTGAAAACACACACACATTTACCCGCCCATAGACCCTCCCCTTCGATGAAATCAGGACAGAAGTGGCTGAAAGTGGACAAAAGAGACGGATTAAAACAACAGGTGTGAGCGGGAATGTGTCTCCCTCGTCTACTTGTGATCCGATCGACCAAAACACATCTTAACACCAGGAGTAAACAGGACCTGAGACCATAATCACATTTACAACTCCAAGTGAGCTACGTTTTCAGCAATCACAGATGCTTTCCAGAAATGTGTAATTCTTTTGAGGTTAAAACACTGCAACTGGAAAGCAAACATTTGCACACTATCATTCAAAAGTTTGGCATAAGGAAATTAATACTTTTATTCAGCAAGGATCATAAACCGTGATGGTAAAGACATTTATAATGTACAAAATATTCTATTTCAAATAAATGTTGTTCTTTTGTCATATTAGAGTGATTTCTGAAGGATCATGTGACCCTGAAGACTGGAGTAATGATGCTGAAAATCCAGCTTTGATCACAGGAATATATTACATTTGAACATATATTCACATAGAAAACACTTTTTTTAAAATTGTAATAATATTTCACAATATTACGCCCAACAAAGTTAACTCAACAGTTACTCATTCTTCCTCGTCTTCAGACACATTAGTGATTTCCCCATCTAAAAGCGACCTTTAACAAAGACTTCATCTGGTCTCCGTGACTCATCTCATCTCTGATTTGATTATAAGTGAATGAGAAACTGGCCGGGCGCACCGCCTGACTGTGCATGTGGTCATGTGCTCAGAGACTCACTAGTGAGCAGATGAAGCTCGCAGGCGTGTTCCCCGCCGAGAGGTCGAACACCAGCCCTTCCCCGGTCAAGATCAGGGGCCGGTGCATAAACTACTGCGAAGACTAGTCCTAAAAGTTAGTCATCAATTTTTGTAGATTAGTCTAATTTGATACCCAATAGTAAGACTGATTACCTCTAACTAACTGCAAGTTGTTTGTACTAACTAGTTCTTAAGACACAGTCTTAACATAATGCAACCATGCAAACAATCATGCAACGCAGGAAAACAGCAAACTAACATCAGATCAACTCACTTCTGCCCCCTACAGGCCGCAGTGTTTAGTGTGTTTAGTCACTTCTGCCCCCTACAGGCCGCAGTGTTTAGTGTGTTTAGTCACTTCTGCCCCCTACAGGCCGCAGTGTTTAGTGTGTTTAGTCACTTCTGCCCCCTACAGGCCGCAGTGTTTAGTGTGTTAAGTCACTTCTGCCCCCTACAGGCCGCAGTGTTTAGCACAACTCAGTCTGAATAACTAAAGTCATCATGAGTCATGACTAATAATCATGCCCTAAATGATTAAGGACAGATTCAAAAACTCTCCTAAATTACTTCATAAATGAAAAATGTGTTTGTTTGCAGCTTGTGTGCAAATAAATTATTTATTTTTTTGGTCACTTCTGACTGAAAGCTCACATCCTTTTACCTTTATATTTTCATTTACATTTAAACTACACTAAAATTAAACCAGAACCGAATAACACGATGGGCCCGAGAACTACCACAGAAAACGTAGTAAATCTCAGTTCCTTTTTCATCTTGATGGAGTGAAACTGTTTGTTCAACTCTATCTTTTCTATATTAGCATTCACTCAGTTCTGAACAGGCACAATAAAACAATCAGTCGGTTTGTGATAAATATAATCAATAGAAGTCATTTTAGACTTTGAACATTCGTCGAATCTGGTGTTGTGAAGCAAATCAAAGTGAAAACCCGGTCCAAAGCCCAGAGTTTTGAGGCTTTGTGATTCTGTGGCTGAATGAAAGAAAGCCTCATACTCGTCTAACACACTGCAAAGCCATAATCTCAGAAGTCATATGGCAGAAATTAGGCGGTTTAGCGCATGTGACAAGTCTTAAACAAGGTCTTAAACTATGACTCTCTCATGGTTATTCCAGGGTTTCATTTAAAGAAGTGAGGAACTGTCTATTTACTGGTGAAATACCCATCATTACTAAATAACCCTTCAGTTCTGCCTTTTTAAAGTACTTTTGAAAAAAAACAACAACTTTAAAACACACTTCTCTCTGCAGTAATACTAGATTTCAGGGTTGTTATTGTAATGTAAAACTATTAAAAATCATTTTTGATCCAATAAGAGTCATTGAACCATTTTATAAAATAAGTTTAGTCCATTTTAAATACTAAAATTAATAAAAAAATTAAGCTGAAATAAACAATGAAGCTAAATAGAAACATTTAAAAAAAACTAATAAAAATGACAAAAGCACATATAAAAAAAATTACAAAAAATAAAAAGTTAATGCAAAAATTCTAAATACCATAAGTTTAAAATAATTCTAAAATAGCAAATGCACACAGGAGAAATCTGTCATTATTTCTAAACACTCTTTGCATTTAGAAAATTACAGCCCGACTGACAACAATGACCAATAAAAATATTCAGGTCATTTAATAATTAACTTGATTGTCCGTCAGCTCAAGACTTACTGACACTTATGTCTTCTCTGTAAGCAAATAAACATGGAAACTTTACAGTAAGGACCCACTAATTAATGCATTTACTAACATTAAAATGAGCAATACATACATTAATCTTTGTTAACGAACATAGAATTGTTCATTGTTAATTCATGTTAGCTCAGGTCCTTTTAATATTGTTAACAGATACAACTTTTTGATTTTAATACTGTATTAGTAAAACGTTAACTGAGATTAAAACTGTGAGCGTGAAAATGCACTTTTCAAACTCAAATGGTTGTAATTCATGAATGCTTTAGAATAACAATAAGGTTGGTCTCTTTTTAAAGACGACACTCGGCAGATTATTGCTGAAGTGAAAGCGAAATGAAAATTTGTGTTTCAAATTTAAAGTCGATATCACAAAAATTAAAGTTCCCATGAGATTTTGTTTAGGTGTAATACCAGAAATAGCCACCGGGTGAAACCCACAATCCATTGAATGGTTTTTTAAAGCGTCCTCCTGTAAAAAAAAAAAAACTTTTCTGTCACAATATCACTTCTATCACAAAACAGTCACCCAATATGTAACCTTGAGACTCTGACCTTTCCAACGATATGTGATTTGTCAGGATTAGAAGAAAAAATAGAAACCATGACTCCGCCCATTAGGGGAGGAGCCGCTAAAAGGATTTAAAGAACGGGTTTCCAAGTGCCCAATTTCAAAATGGTTTTCCCATGTTGAATTTTGAGTGTTTAAAGCTTTCAAATGATACCTAATTTATGATGATTACTCAAAGCCTTCATTATTGTTAGTTACTTTTGAACTAATGTAGTTAACTAATGTTAATAAATGGAATATTACAGTAAGAAAAAAATCTTATAGTATCTTCCTGATCAAGCCGATCTGCGTCTTTTATGAAAGCTGTTAAACCTGTATTCAGGTTTCATATAATAGTAGTGCGTAGGTAATTGACTTCATGATAATAAAGCACTGCTCTGTCGTTTCACCTAAGAGAGAGAGAGAGAGCTTCAAAGAGAAAGTGCTGGTAAGCCTTATCGATCAAATACCTAGTGAGCTGCCAACCGAGGCATCATGCCCAAAAACAGTCTAATGTTGAACTACAGCCCTGATAAAGCTGTTCTCCTGTAGACACATATTCATGTACACATACCTCCATTTCACCTGTTTTTATCTCCACACATCACATGTCTCATTCATCATGTTTATAATTAAGGATTGCACATCTGGCTCTAAAACAAGGATGAAGTCGTGAAAAGTTTCATATTTTCAATATCACATTCATTTGATAGAAATACATAAAAGTGCCTGCAGTTGAAGAAACGTCCTGTAAAAGCTCAAACTTCAGATTTGTGTTTTGCATCACTCGAGGCCCTGACCTGATGACACAGCTGTTATGGTGCTCTCATCAATACACAATTACACACACACAACACGCTCAGCTCGTGAACAATGCGCATGAAACTGATTGTATGTAACGATTAACGTTACGGATATGATGAACTCTCACCCCTGTTGAATCTTTGACGAAGTAGCTGCCGCTGGAGCCCTGATAGATGCGCTCCGGGTAAATGCCCTCCTCGATGGCCCGTTCTGCCTTCCGGATAATCTCTCTAAACTCCGGGTCCTCCGGGAACTCGTTCCTGTGCGGGTCCCGCGGCGACGAACCTCGATCGCGGTCCAGGAGCGGCTGTCGCTCGCGGCTCCGTCCGGGACTCCCAGCCGGCAGACGCACCACTGAGCCCGGCGTGCCTCCAAATCCACCCCGGGGACTCGTCGGCTCGGTGGGACCGTAGCTGAAATCGTTTGAATCGCGAAGCGGAGAGACTAGCGGGCTCGTTTCGTCCATCGCGGAGAAGGAGATAGGGGGAATGGGGGAATTACCCGGGACAAGCGTTTGTTTGTTGCTGTAATGAAATGATGCGGCTTCGTACAGCAAATCGCCAACAAACAAATCACATGACAGCTCGCTTCCGGATAGAGGCGGGGACGCTGCGTCATCGCAATGGCACTGGCCAATCAGCGCTCGAGAACGCTCTTGTTTTTCCATATGCGCTCTGTGATTGGTTAGAATTGCACCACCCACAGCGAGCATGTGACAAAGCACAACATCACTCGAGTTAACATTAGAATTTTAAACGTTGAAAAGATATGAATATGAGTAGGGGTGGATATGTATGCATAGATTGTGTACATATGGGAATGTTATTGTTTTATATTTTTTCATGTATATTGTTATGTTGTGTTATAAGATGTCCTTGTGTGTGGTGTAAAGTGAAGCCAAAGACAAATTTCCACTTGTGGACAATAAATGAACTAAACTAAACTTAGTTATAACGGCAGAGAAATGTGTTTTGAAATTATGTTATGATTAAATTATGACCACAGAAACATGAAAACAAAAACAAAACAAAAAACATGGAAATAAGAATCTGTTAATTATATATAAACAATGGAAAAGTTTAAGCCAGCCTGCACTGATGCTGCATCAACTTATGTTGCTAACGAACATCTGAATGTGCTTGCGGGAAGACAAAGATTATTTTAAACCAGAGACTGTTTTTTAAAAAGTCTTGGTGATCTATAGACTATAGTATTTGTAAACATTGAATCACTCTTATTCCATGCTAAACCCAGATTATTATTATTATTTGATGAGGCGCAATAGAATGAGCTGAACACAGAGGCTGCGCTCTTCTGTATAATGGAAGTGGATGGGGACTACTGTTAAATAGTCTGTTGTTATGGTAGTCCATCAATTCAGCTCAATATTTTTGTGTCCCATGAAAGAAGATGTCTTACGGGACTGAAATGTCATGTGTGTGAGTAGATGACGGAATTTTCATTTTTGGGGTGAACTGTGCCTTTAAGAACGGTCTTCCGTTCCACTAATGAAATCTGTAAATCGGTCAATTACCACAACTTTCTTTGGCAATCATCTGCATGACTCTCTTTAGGGAAGTGTTCGCTGTGTGTTCCTGTGCTGGAGGATGATGATGACAGAGCGGTATCACGCGCGGGGGGACGCGACGCGACCCGGACGTGACTCGCGTCATGAGCTTGTTGTAGCAACACGGGTATCCACGGGGAGGAGAGAGGAGACGACATGATGAGGCTTTTACTTCATGATGCACAGTTGATATTTGACTTGGCATTTCAGTGAGTCTGCCGGTTTATCATTTGAGCAGATGTTTTGAGACTTGATTTATTATTTTATATTTTTAAGCATTTGAATTTTCATTTCAAATTTGTTTGGAAAAAAAAACTTCCACAGGTTAGTTCCGCAGCTCAGATCGATGGAGTCAGTGAGGGGCCCGACAGCTGAAGACTGTTCCCCGGTCAGCGAGCTCTCCTTCGGCCTGCAGAACCTCCAGTGTCAGGACGGGTGAGAGAAACACACCTTTATATCTTATATCTTTATATCTTTACAATCTTTACACGCCGCTCAAACACTGCACTTGCAATATAAGGGATCATTTATTCAGCAGCATTTATACATTTTTATTTACGCTTTCTAAGTGATTTGGATAATGAAATATTATTGATATGTTTTGTGAACATTTATACATCATATTGTTTACATTATTACATTATTGTTGAATGATAATAATTAGTATTAATAGAACATAATTAACATTAAAGTAATACTTTATTAATATAATTAATTAATATAACAACAATAATAATATAAAATCCATAAAAGGAAACCTAAAGTAAAACATTTTGTAGTTCAGATGCAACTGCCATATTTGGTCCATTTAATGCGTATCTAAATAATATTTAAAGCAGTTAATCATTGCTTTGTCTCATAAACGTGGTCGAATGTGTCATCATATTCTAATTAAGAAACAGATTGATTCATGTCAACTTATTTTTACATGTTAAATTAAACAAATCAAAATAACTTTTTTTACCTCATACTCCCCCTTTCCACCACAATAAAGTGATATATGTTACTTTATTGTAATTTTGACTGTATATTTTTAACTATATTTCATACCAGTGGCAATTGTGACCAGTGACAAAATACACATGCCTCCATTAATTTTGTTAATTTTCTTTAGAAAAGACTGCAATTTTGTTTTATAGTCAGATAGTAAATGTTTTGCGGGGGGTAAAACTGTTAGTTGTGTGTTAAAGCTTGGTGCCCATTTTCTGTAAGTCTGAGTCCAAAGAGCTCGGCCCCCTGGAGAAAGCTTGTTTTGACGCCTGAATGCTCCAGTCCGCCGCGCTACACTCTCTCAAGGGACATAGAGACGCCGACAGGTCTGGACAAGAGCCTCACACACACACACACACACACACACACACACACACACACACACACACACACACACACACACACACACACACACACACACACACACACACACACACACACACACACACACACACACACACACACACTGCTTAATTAACTCTCCTCTGAGGACACTTTAAACTCAAGCTCTTCCCGCTCTTTGTTTTTGCAGAACTGACAGCTATTATATTTTTTATCTAGTCTGTATTTCCTTGTACATCCTATAGTCACTTCTCTTCAAATTTTTCTGCTTAAGATCCAGGTTTGAAAATGTTGAAAAGCATGAAGGTATAAGGAAATTTGATCATTTTAATGGAAAAGTCATGGCAATTGATCAAATTGACTGAAAACACACATTTACATATTTGCATGCACATATTCTTTATGTATATATTAATTTCAAGAATTACTAGATCAAAGTCCTGAATTTCAGTTTAATTTACTGTGAATCTTCTCTCAGTCTCTGCAGTGAGAAGACAGCGAGCAAGGTAATAAGCATGAGCTCATACTAATAATGCAGTTGATGAATAATCTGTGATGATCTGTGATGTTTGTCTTGGCAGAAGCCTGTCACCCGAGTCCTCTTCAAACACGGTAGGACACGTATACAGCAATCAAACACAGTAAATGGAAAGGAGTTCATTCTTTTGATTTTGACATTATTCTGATCTCCTGATTCAGGCCATGTGTCAGTGGAGGGAGCGTCCCGACTCTCCTGCCGATGAAGAGACTGAGCGAGCCTTTGTCAGTAACGCCTCTATACACTCTCATTCACATTAGCCCACGTATTATTTATGCAACTAAAATGTCCTTTGAATTATGCATGTAAATGTAATATGCACCTACCTTATTTGTAACTTAAATGTGCAAGGTTATGATGTCATCCGCTTCCAGTTATTTAAACTGAAAGAAAAAAAACAATGCAAATTTGTTATTTGTCATCAGATTATTTTAATTTATTAATATCTCATAATTGGTAATGGTAATTATGACATACTAAGTCGAAATTATTACATTCTAAATCAAAATTATGACATACTAAGTCAAAATCATAAGCAAAAAAGTAAAAAATAATGACCATAATAATAATAATAATAATAATATATAAATATAAAAAGTCAATATTATGATATTCAAAGTCAGATTTATGACATAGTTGTAATGGTGTAATTCAGTTATGACAAAAAGTCAAAACTATGAAATTCAAAATCGAAAATTATAACATTCAAAGTCATTATTACAAGTCATAATTGACATTCAAAGTTGAAACTATGATATAATAATGACATCAAAAGTCGACATTAATCATTATGACAAACCTATAGTAGGCCTAAGCCACAATTTTGACTTTTTAATCTCATAATTTCGACTTTTTAGATCTAATAAATAAAAAGATTTGTCATTGGTATGCAATCACTTTTAATTTTTCAATAATTAGCTTCCATACACATTGTTTTGTAGCGCAAATATTTTTACTGTTTACTGCACTTTTTTTTTAGTTTTTCCCTATAGCGGCTTATGAATCCAAAGTCTAGCACATGATTCACAGAAAACGTACTTCCCCACTGCAAAATAATGTGTGTATCTTGGCAGGTGTGATGTTGACGTGGTACTTTGCGCTGTATTGTTGTGGTAAACTGGGTCACACTCATATACATGGCGTGTTTTATCGCACTGAAAGTGAAGTGAACATTTGTCCACCAGAAGCGTCTGCGAGTGCGTCTGTCCAGCAGATTCTGCTCCGCTGAAGAGGCAGAGTTAGCGGGCAGGAGCCGGAGGCAGTGCCGCAGTGACCCAGAAGAGGACGCCAGTGTCCCGCGACAGACGCACGCGCTCCACCCAACGGTGAGCGAGCAGAACATACACTCTCTGCCTGTCAATCAGTCTGGCTGGCATGATACATGATATTATATTCTGCGTATCATCTGCTATATGTGACCCTGGACCACAAAACCAGTCACAAGGGTCCATTTTTTTAAATTGACATGTATACATCATCTGAAAGCTGAATACATAAGCTTTCCATTGATGAATGGTTTGTAAGGATATGACAATATTTATTTAAGATACAACTATTTTAAAATCTGGAATCTGAGGGCACAAAAAATCGAAACATTCAGAAAATCTCCTTTAAAGTTGTCCGTTCATGTTCGTGATTTGCTGCATCCACTCACAAAAGTAAATGTTTTATATATTTACGGTAGGAAATTTACTAAATATCTTCATGGAACATGATTTTTACTTAATATCCTGTGATATTGAATATGATTTTTTGCATAAAAGAAAAATCTATAATTTTGACCCATACAATGTATTGTTGGCTATTGCCACAAATATACCTGTGCGAAATATGACTGGTTTTGTGGTCCAGGGTCACATATATGTATATTATATATATACATATACTATATATATATATATATATATATATATATATATATATACACTCACCGGCCACTTTATTAGGTACCCCATGCTAGTAACGGGTTGGACCCCCTTTTGCCTTCAGAACTGCCTCAATTCTTCGTGGCATAGATTCAACAAGGTGCTGGAAGCATTCCTCAGGGAGTTTGGTCCATATTGACATGATGGCATCACACAGTTGCCGCAGATTTGTCGGCTGCACATCCATGATGCGAATCTCCCGTTCCACCACATCCCAAAGATGCTCTATTGGGTTGAGATCTGGTGACTGTGGAGGCCATTTTAGTACAGTGAACTCATTGTCATGTTCAAGAAACCAATTTGAAATGATTAGAGCTTTGTGACATGGTGGAAGTAGCCATCAGAGGATGGGTACATGGTGGCCATAAAGGGATGGACATGGTCAGAAACAATGCTCAGGTAGGCCGTGGCATTTAAACGATGCCCAATTGGCACTAAGGGGCCTAAAGTGTGCCAGGAAAACATCCCCCACACCATTACACCACCACCACCAGTCTGCACAGTGGTAACAAGGCATGATGGTTCCATGTTCTCATTCTGTTTACGCCAAATTCTGACTCTAACATCTGAATGTCTCAACAGAAATCGAGACTCATCAGACCAGGCAACATTTTTCCAGTCTTCAACTGTTCAATTTTGGTGAGCTCTTGCAAATTGTAGCCTCTTTTTCCTATTTGTAGTGGAGATGAGTGGTACCCGGTGGAGTCTTCTGCTGTTGTAGCCCATCCGCCTCAAGGTTGTGCGTGTTGTGGCTTCACAAATGCTTTGCTGCATACCTCGGTTGTAACGAGTGGTTATTTCAGTCACTGTTGCCCTTCTATCAGCTCGAACCAGTCTGGCCATTCTCCTCTGACCTCTGGCATCAACAAGGCATTTCCGCCCACAGAACTGCCGCTCACTGGATGTTTTTTCTTTTTCGGACCATTCTCTGTAAACCCTAGAGATGGTTGTGCGTGAAAATCCCAGTAGATTAGCAGTTTCTGAAATACTCAGACCAGCCCTTCTGGCACCAACAATCATGCCACGTTCAAAGTCACTCAAATCACCTTTCTTCCCCATACTGATGCTCGGTTTGAACTGCAGGAGATTGTCTTGACCATGTCTACATGCCTAAATGCACTGAGTTGCCGCCATGTGATTGGCTGCTTAGAAATTAAGTGTTAACGAGCAGTTGGACAGGTGTACCTAATAAAGTGGCCGGTGAGTGTATATACAACAAACGGATGCGCTCGACCCAGCGGTGAGCAAGGAGAACCTTTTACAGTCTATGAGCTCAAGCAAAACACTCTCTGCCTGTCAATCATTCTGGCTGGCATGATATATGATATCATATTCTGCTATCTATCCCTGTTCATCTGCAGGCCGTTGAGAGGTTCAGTCAGCTGAGGTCACGGCGGGAAGCCCCGCCCACACACGTCACTCATGATGACGTCGCTGACCTCACACTCATTGGGGACTTCAGTAAGGTCGGTTCTGCGAAACCGAAATGATTATTTCAAAGTGATGACGAGTGGGGTCAGTAAGATTGTTTTTAAGAAATGTATTATTTTATTCAGCAAGAGCACATTCAATTGGTCAAAGGTTGCAGTGAAGACATTAATAATGTTACAAAAGATTTCTGTATTAAATAAATCCTGAAAATGTTTTGTAGTTTCCACAAAAATATATAGTGGATAATAATCATAAATGGTTTTTGAGCATCAAATCATCATATCAGAATGATTTCTGAAGGATCATGTGACACTGAAGACTGGAGTAATGATGATGAAAATTCAGCTTTGATCACAGGAATAAATTACATCTTAAAATATAGAAAAATAGAAAACAGTTATTTTAATTTGCAATAATATTTCACAATATTACTATTTTTACTGTATTTTTGATCATATAAATGCAGCCTTGGTGAACAAAAGAGACAAAAACATTAAAAATCTTATAGACCTCAAACTTCTAAACACCAGTAAGTTATTAATTACTAATTTTCATGCCTTCAATGGGTGAATATTTAGAATTTTTAGAGTGACTCATTCCCAGTCAGTCGTGTCTTGTGTCTTGACGCAATTATTTCCATAGCAACACCTGCTTCCTGTTGAGAGAGCCGGCCATCGGGAGCTTCACTGTGTCAGCGCACAAACCGTAAGACATCATGTGACTGTTCTTTAAGCTAGGGTGGATAAAAACCTGGTAAAATATTCCCATTTGAATGCAGTTTCATATTAATTATTTTTCTTAATCACAAAGCAGCTTTGAGAGACTGAAATATAAGTTCCTTACCCAATTATTTCATGGGTTTATTTGAATGATGTACGAGATGTAAAGGTGAAAGTATTGTGTGCTGCTGACCTGTAGGTGGCGTCTCTGATCAGAGGTCAGTTTGGTCCTGCAGTCGAGGACTTCCTCATCGTCGACTGTCGTTACCCCTACGAGTACCAAGGAGGACACATTAAGGTACCTTAAAATATTGAGTTTTTGTCAAACCAATGTTTGTGCCGACAGATCTTCCTATCCTGACCCTTGGTGTGTCCACCAAAGCGTTTTTAACCTGCTGTAAACGCCTAGCTGTTCTGAGAGCGTTTTGGCAGCGTATCCGCAGAAGTGTTATAGTATCTCCTTTCACAGATAATTTGTTTCTGTATTGTTTCTATATAAAAATATCGGTACAATGCAAAGTATTTGCTCTGGCTCTTGTTTTAAATTATTTCGTTTCCGTTATTATGCTTGTTGTTTTCATTTGTTGACGTTGTACAAGCAGAATGTGGCGGTTGGTCGGTGTGGTATTAGTCCCGCCTCTTCTCCACTGTGATTGGATGGCTGGGTAAAAAGTGAGTGTGACCATTCTTCAACCCAAAGTTGAACATTCTTCAACACTCGGCGACCGATAAAAAATGCTGAGCGCTCGGCGTGAAATAGCCGCTCAGCGCCTCGTTACGCTCCTGGCGTTTTAAAAATCAGGCTCTCCCATTGAAAACAATTGGAAGCGTGAAAAAAAGCGCTTTGGTGGACACAGAGCCTTAAGCCCAATTTATACTTCTGCGTCGGACCTACGCCGTATCCTCTACTGTAGGTTACGCGTCTGTTTTAATTTTTATAGAGGTGCGCGTCAGGGTACGCCGAAGGGTACGCGCGCTACACACAGCCTATGACGTAGCTACTGCATGAGTTCGACACAGAAGTATAAATTGGACTTTAGACTGTACTGCACTCACACAGGGCGCAGTGAACCTGTACACAGAGTCTCAGATCCAGCAGGCGGTTCATCAGGATCATCCGTCCGACTCACTCCCGGAGGACGAGGGGTCATCGCCACGTAAACTGATAGTGTTCCACTGCGAGTTCTCATCGGAACGAGGACCACACCTGTGAGAAACACACTCTACACACACACACACACACACACACACTCACTGAGTGTGTTCATGATTACTCAAGCTTCTTACCCGTTCAACAGGTGTCAGTATCTGAGGAGGCTGGACAGGTGTGTCAATGCTCAGGTGTATCCGAACCTGCACTATCCTGAGCTCTACTTGCTGCTGGGGGGTTACAAACACTTCCATGCCTCCTATCCGGTACAGTACAACAACACAATGTCTCACTGTCTAAAGTTGCTTGGGGGTTTGTGGAAAGGTTTAGAGATAGACAGTGTAAAAATTTAAAAAAAATATATATATATATGAAAAATCTGACCAATCAGAGCAGAGTAGGCCAATCACAACAGACTGGGTCATCTGACCAATCAGAGCAGAGTGGACCAATCACAACAAACTGGGCCATCTGACCAATCAGAGCAGAGTAGACCAATCACAACAGACTGGGCCATCTGACCAATCAGAGCAGAGTAGACCAATCACAACAGACTGGGCCATCTGACCAATCAGAGCAGAGTTGACCAATCACAACAGACTGGGCCATCTGACAAATCAGAGCAGAGTAGACCAATCACAACAGACTGGGTCATATGACCAATCAGAGCAGAGTAGGCCAATCACAACAGACTGGGCCATCTGACCAATCAGAGCAGAGTAGGCCAATCACAACAGACTGGGTCATCTGACCAATCAGAGCAGAGTAGACCAATCACAACAAACTGGGCCATCTGACCAATCAGAGCAGAGTAGACCAATCACAACAGACTGGGCCATCTGACCAATCAGAGCAGAGTTGACCAATCACAACAGACTGGGCCATCTGACCAATCAGAGCAGAGTTGACCAATCACAACAGACTGGGCCATCTGACAAATCAGAGCAGAGTAGACCAATCATAACAGACTGGGTCATCTGACCAATCAGAGCAGAGTAGACCAATCACAACAGACTGGGTCATCTGACAAATCAGAGCAGAGTAGACCAATCATAACAGACTGGGTCATCTGACCAATCAGAGCAGAGTAGACCAATCACAACAGACTGGGTCATATGACCAATCAGAGCAGAGTAGACCAATCACAACAGACTGGTTCATCTGACCAATCAGAGCAGAGTAGACCAATCACAACAGACTGGGCCATCTGACCAATCAGAGCAGAGTAGACCAATCACAACAGACTGGGCCATCTGACCAATCAGAGCAGAGTAGACCAATCACAACAGACTGGGCCATCTGACCAATCAGAGCAGAGTTGACCAATCACAACAGACTGGGCCATCTGACAAATCAGAGCAGAGTAGACCAATCACAACAGACTGGGCCATCTGACCAATCAGAGCAGAGTAGACCAATCACAACAGACTGAGCCATCTGACCAATCAGAGCAGAGTAGACCAATCACAACAGACTGGGCCACAAGAAAGGCGGGGTTAAGAGAGACTGAATCTTTGAACAAACTATTTTAGACTCTTTGAGAAATGAGGTGATGCGTGTAATGTTTTATATAATGAGAAAAGTTAAGTGTTTTGATGCATGTAAACCTACTATAGGAGACTCCACAGTATGTGCAGCATGACAGTCCCGGTGTCTCTCTGTCTCAGGATCTGTGTGAGCCCTGCGGTTACGTGCCCATGCGTCAGCGCGAGTACCGGGAGCAGCTTCACGGATTCCGCAGGAGAAGACCCACACGGCAGCGAAGACGACGGCCAATCAGAATACATCAAAGAACGACGCGTTAAATGTTATGTATATATATATTTATTTGTATGATCTTTCATGTACATCTTTCAAGTCAACTACACTGTAGGCCACTTAATAAAGTATTTCAAACACTGACTGCGGTGATGGATCATATTTAATAATATTGCAAATTTTCTTTAGATTTTCTTTGCTAATACAATAATACTAAAGGAAGTGCTAGATCTGTGGAAAAGTTTAGAGAAAGACAATGTAAAGATAAATAAATAATAAAAATATGATTCAACTAAAAAGATAAATCGATTCAATAAAAAATAGTTGATTTAAAGTTGTAGTCTACAGCACTGTAATAGTTAGTAGAAAAATGTGATAATTGAACATAATATAAATTTGCCAAAGCATATTTTACACATAATGTTTATTTTTTATAGTATAAATTAGGTTTATACATGAAACTATATACTTTTTAATTTAGGATGGACTGGGAGTCACTCACACAAGGATAATTAAATTTGGGGGTCCATCTAAAACTGCCCTACAGCATTTTTTAAAAACTCATATAAAATATATAAAGTGAAAATACATTTAATTTGATGTATAGAACTTCCACGATCATATCAATAATTATTTATAATAATTATTTATGTATAAAAACGTATCCCATTGAAATGTTATATTATTTCACTTCCACATAGTCGTAAAACTATTTTTATTTTTTACAAAGGTGTATTATATCCAATACAGAATTATGATGATGATAATCACACTCAAGGTCGCGTAGTGACCGTAGTGACGTGTGTGTGCACGCGCATGCTCTTCCCCCTGATAGGTCGCGCGCATCAGGAAGCGTTTCTCACTTTCCCAAGCGACGACCTCCAAAAGCACCGGTGCGATATTAACGTTACCGCTCACCGTGCCAGCATCTCTCATCCGTGTGTCGGGGCCGTGTCTCCGTTACTTGCGAACATTCCCGCTGCGTTTGAGAGCGTTTGCCCGCAGACCCCGCGATATGGCCGCGTACAAGCTGGTGCTGATCCGCCACGGCGAGAGTTGCTGGAACCAGGAGAACCGGTTCTGCGGCTGGTTCGATGCCGACCTGAGCGAAACCGGAGAGGAGGAGGCCAGGAGGGGTGGACAGGCCCTGAAAGGTGATCTGGTGTCCGTGTATTAAACTGATCTTCTTATGTTTATCTGTTTATCTGCACTGCATTCGAGCAGGGCCCTGCAGAGATCACAGGCCCGCAGAGATGCACCTCCTCTCTCATGATGTATTATTACTGTTAAATTAATGCATGATTAGTTAAGCTTCTGCTGCTCTTCCTCATTTCGTCTTTGACAACTGTAGTTTTTTTTGTAGCATGAATCTTTTTGTTGTCAAAGCGTTGATTGGTGGTTGCGAGGATGTTGTAGTGCTTATTGGCCCAATTCAAAAGATTTCGTTATGAACTCGTCATGATTAGTTCACATTAAAAAGAAAATTCTGTCATTTATTACTCACCCTCATGTCGTTCCAAACCCGCAAGACTTTTGTTCATCTTCAGAACACAAATGAAGATATTTTTAATGAAATATGAGACTTCTGTCCCTCCATTGACCGTCTACGCAACTACCACTGACGCTTCAAAAAGTTCATAAAGAGATCGTAAAACTAATTCATATGAATCGAGCGGATGAACCTCATTGGTTCTGGCGGAAGCTCAAACATGCTGCGTAACACGAGAATGAACCTCATTAGCTCTCACACGTTTTCTAATATGAACTAAATTATCAATATGGAGATTTAATTTCAAAATATATATATTTTTAATGCCGTTATTTCCTCATCTGTATCCGATACACAACCTGACTAACATCAACGCCACCTTCCAGATGCGGGTTATGAGTTTGACGTCTGCTACACGTCCGTGCTGAAGCGAGCGATCCGCACGCTGTGGCTGGTGCTGGACGGCATCGATCAGATGTGGCTGCCGGTGAACCGCACCTGGCGTCTGAACGAGCGCCACTACGGCGGCCTCACGGGCCTCAACAAGGCCGAGACGGCGGCCAAACACGGCGAGGCGCAGGTGAAGATCTGGAGGCGCTCCTTCGACACCCCACCGCCATCCATGGACCCCGACCACGACTTCTACACTGCCATCAGCAAGGTGAGAAATCTGTCGCACAGTGTCAGCAAGGTTAAAGGAAATCAATACTTTTATTCAGCAAGGATGCATTAAATCGAGCAAAAGTGGCAGTAAAGACATTTATAATGTTACGAAAGATTTCTATTTCAAATAAATGCTGTTCTTTTGAACATCTGTTCATTAAAAAAATCCTGAAAGAAAATGTATCACGTTTTCCACAAAAAAGTGCTAATAATCATAAATGTTTCTTGAGCATCAAATCATCATATCAGAGTGATTTCTGAAGGATCATGTGACACTGAAGACTGGAGTAATGATGCTGAACATTCAGCTTTGATCACAGGAATAAATGACATTTTAAAGTTATTTCACAATATTACTGTTTTTTACTGTATTTTTGATCCCGTAAACGCAATGTTGGTGCGAGTATAACGGCTCTGAATGTCATGTGTCTGCAGGACCGGCGCTACGGGGACCTGACGGAGGACCAGCTGCCCTCCTGCGAGAGCCTGAAGGACACTATCGCTCGAGCTCTGCCCTTCTGGAACGAGGAAATCGTTCCTCAAATCAAGGAGGGCAAGAGGGTTCTCATCGCTGCCCACGGAAACAGCTTGCGAGGCATCGTCAAACACCTGGAGGGTGAGAAACCGTCTCAGATGTTTACACCACACAGTGTGTGTATACACCCTAAAAACACCCCGAACAAGCCCAAGAGGAGTCTGATGGGGGGTCATGCATACGGCTCTTTAAAATCTCTCTTTTCTTCCCAAAATTCTGTTTTATTTCCCCCTCAATAAGACAGTCAAATGCGTTGCTCCTGAATAAATCAGACTTTTGAATGAAAACTCATTAACAGTGACTTGCTGCCACCTACTGGTGGTTTTAATCTTACATTTAAACTATCTTTTCTTTTCTTTTTTGCGCTCCCATTGAAAACAATAAAAAAATACGTTAGCTTTGGGGAAACGGGCTTTGTTGGACACACAGCATACAAGAGCAACCACCAGCGTTTTATATCTACATCTGTTTGCTTCTGATGTGTTTGTTTCAGGAATGTCAGAGGAGGCGATTATGGAGCTGAACCTTCCCACAGGAATCCCAATCCTTTACGAGCTGGACAAGAACCTGAAGCCCGTGAAGCCCATGCAGTTCCTGGGAGACGAGGAGACCGTCCGCAAAGCAATGGAGGCCGTCGCCGCTCAGGGCAAAGCCAAGAAGTAGGCCGAGACGTCCCGTATTCTAGCTCTTATTTCCCACAATCAGTATTTTAACCATGAGCCTAGAACCAAACCATTGACCAATCATTTATTTCCTAATGCTCTCAATCGGGACCATGCTAATAAAGTTCAACCGTTACTGCTTGAATGTGTGTATGTGCAGTGAAACTGAGCCACGGTGTGTTTATAGTCTCTGCACTGAAAATCCACGACCGCACATTTCAGAAGATGGCACATGTGTGTGTCTGCGATGGCATCGCTTTGGCAACTGTTGCCAGGCGACAGCATATATTAATGGTTGGGTGGGCTGCAGAAGTGCTGCGTTTTCCCATCTTCCTGTGATTCATGCATTGTCCCGCTGCTCTAGATCTCTGCTCGCCCACAGACACGCTCCTGAAATACCCAACACGAGAAGATCTCTGTAACACGGTTCGGTTTTAGGATTCTCCTACATCTAGAGTCAATTTTTTGTTGGTGATTCACAGCAGATTATATTCCTGTGGGCTTTTTTGGGGATGTTTATGGTCATTTTTTTTCTCACTGTTTATGTGGTAAATGTCACTGTATGTTATGTGTGATGTCCATGTTAAGTATAATGCATTTTGACCCTGCAAACATTCTCCATGACGTAAATATTATTGAACATTGTGCCCCGGAAAAGAAATGCTCATGTTGTCTGTTCCTTTATATTTCACTTGTACAACAAATGTTGAAATTATTTTGCTTGACTGAAAGACAGAGTTCTATGTACACTAGTGTGAGTTGATGTGCAATCCCTAATAAATGTTGGCTTACTGAACCAGAGATAATGCTGTTACATTTTTATTTTTTTGTAATCTAATCCCTTAAGTGTTCATTGTGGCGATGTAGAAAAGATTTTTAAAATAAGTGGAAATCGTTTTTTTTTTTGTATTACAACTGTTCTGGTTTGAGTGAATGTTACCATTTTTGACATGACGTCGAATTATTAGGAAATATACTCTTTCAATGTATAATTAATGTTATATTTTTTACTTACAGAGTTAGGTGTTAAATACTTAATACTAGTAGGTAACGCGCATTTACGGCCACAACAAATATGGAGGTTTACTTGAACCGCACATGATGAAGTAGCCAATCAGAGCACAAGTTGCCCACTGACTAACAGCCAATCAAAACGCGACTCTCGCTTCTTGAAAACATGTCGCCCATGAAGCTGTGTGTTCCAGGTAGGTCGCTGTTATATTCATGCTATTTACGCTTTCTTTTGGCTTTATCGACATAATCGCTGCAAGGCTTGGCTCTAGGCGTGTACACATAATGACATTTTGTGAACTTTGGTGTGGTTGGTAAAAGTTAAGGACAGTTAATCTCTCACGTGCAGTGCAGTCAGCGTGCGTTTCTGTAGGGCTGAATCATCCGTGCGCGCAGCACTGATGACGTTATAAACGCATAAGTATGTTCAGCTTCAGTCAACATATGTCAGAAATAGCTGATGTTGATTTAACGCTATTTCGACCTTACATGTATAGTTGATCGGATGTAAATAAGCGTGTCTCTGGAGGTGTTTGCAGGGTTTATAGACTCGTTTGGCGAGCCCTGCCCACCCCCGCCCGGGGCGCGAGCGCTGCTGTCATACACACCTGATTTGAAACACACACACACACCAAACACACACATATGTGCCTCTACACGAACTCGCGGATGATGAACGACGCAGGCAGCTTAAATCACTTGGATTTAACAAAAAGCTAATTTGCTTCAAGTCCAAGAGATCCCGTTTAAAATCCTCCTGTAGTCAATAATTGTATCTCTTAAAACTCACCTTTGATCACCACAATGACTTATTTAAACGTTTGTTATTGGAAATTTTTTTTATTCATGCCTTAAAATATCTGGAATGTAACTACACCCTTGTATTATTTATGGAAATCACAAATGAGCCCCGCCTCCACTCACTCACACCAGCTCAGAGATCCACTCATCACACGTTGATCTGATTGGTTACAAGTTAGTTTTGTGACACCAGTGATTTCAAACTGCGAGACTGTCTTTGGTTCACTGCAGTTTTAACCCCTTCAGACCTGAATTATGTTTCAAGTTTCTGAAAAATATAAAAGTACATTTTCCCAGCTCACGAGGCTTCTATAAATGAGACCTAATAAAAAAAATTGGCTTTCATTGTAATTTCTTTTGTCCATTCCAATGGATGTCAGGTCAAAACAGGTGTACTTCCCAAAAATGTACCAACATGAAATAAAATAATAAACATAAAATTTGTTGGTCTATACTTTAAGCTTTTTCTCAAGGTCAAAAAATTTTCAGTAGTATACCATTTCAACTTTAATTTTGAGGTTTTTGTTTTACAGATTGCACATTGTTTGTAACAAACTAAATGTCTTCGAATCAATCAATATGGTCATATTAAAGTCATTTTCTGTGTGCATCTTTCTTTTTTTAGATCAAAAACTTGAACATTATAACATTGCAACTTTAATTGTAAGGTTTTTGCTTTATAGATCGCACATTTGTTTATTCATAACAAAATAAACCTAAGAATCAGTCAATGCATTCACGTTAGAGTCATTTCCTGTGTGCATCTTTGAAACAATTTCTCTGTTAACGGTTTTCTTGTATTTTTACAGTACATTACTGGCAGCACGGTTGCCAGCAAGTTACTGTATTTCGATTTCCAGTAAATGGAGTGTAATTCACTTTACAGTGCACAAGATCAGTACTGTAAACTACAAAATAGTACTTTACTGTATTTTTACTGTATTTCGTAACAGTTTATCCTCGCCACATAGACTTGTATCGTAAGCGCCTTCCTGTCGATGATGCGAGTCTGATGTGTGGTTTGCGCTCTTCACGCAGGTGAAAGGCTCTGCAGCACAGAGGACTGTATTCCCGGGACCGGCACGGATCTGCGGCACGGATACATCTTCGCTACGCTCGCGGGATACGTGCTGAGAAAGAACGAGGGCGAGGAGGTCAGTTCACCTTCGTGGAGATTTTGGTTTGACTTCGTAAAACTTAAATGTTCCTGCTTCTTGCTAATGTAACCATGACCTCTTGTTTTACAGCTCCCGGTGATTTCAGTCGTCAGGGAGACGGAAGCACAACTCTTGCCTGACGTCGGTGCCATCGTCACCTGCAAGGTGAGTGTCCTGGACAAAACATGACATCACCGGTGCTTATTAAAATGAAAACGCTATGATTAATTTACTTCTCGTGTCGTTCCAAACCGATATGACTTTCTTTCCTCTGCTGAAACACAAACTATATTTTGATGATTGTTGATAACTAAACACTTTTGATCCCCATTGACTTCCATTGTATGGATAAAAATAATAATAATACAATGCAAGTCAATGGGATCCAAAACTGTTTAGACAACGTTCTTTAAAATATCTTATTTTGTGTTCAGCAGAAGAGAGAAATGGATTTAGATTTGCGGTTTTTATTCAAAACAAAGCGGTTACATTTTTGTGCAATAATATTTCGATTTTAGGTCAGACACGAATGTAGATTTGTACAAATTTGCTCCAAGTTTATATTTTTATTGTTTTGCCTTTGAATGTATTCTGCTTGATTTTATCGTGGGTGTGTTTAAAAATGAACATTCCTGTTTATTATTTGAGGTTTAATAAAGGTTAAAAAAAAAAATACCGGTCAGAAATGATTTGTTTTATGTTAAAATGAACATCGGACGTGTGATTGTCACTCTTTGCAGGTGACGAGTATCAACCCACGCTTTGCTAAAGTCCACATCTTGTATGTGGGGTCAACGCCGCTAAAAGACCGGTTCAGAGGCACTATCAGGTTTGAACATTTCATTCTTCAATCAAGACTTTTATATCCATTAACAGTTTAAAGTGTCATTTATGTTATTACCAATAATAGTATAAAAAATAAAAATTCTATTCATTTTTGATTTCACCAGAAGAGAAGACGTGAGAGCGACAGAGAAAGATAAGGTGAGTTCGTGGTAAATGATTGTTTTCAGTAAAATGTCGTGTATATTTGCTGAATTGCGGCTCTTATTTTCAGGTGGAGACGTACAAAAGCTTCAGGCCAGGAGACATTGTCCTTGCTAAAGTGGTATCCTTTATGCTATGTGAAAAATGAAACTCTAGTACCCTGAATGTTGCTCGTGACCCTTGACCTTTGGCGCTCAGATCTCTTTGGGCGACGTGCAGTCGAACTACCTGCTGACCACGGCGGAGAACGAGCTGGGCGTCGTCGTGGCCCACAGCGAGGCGGGTGAGGGAGCGGTCAACAGTAGTGCGCTTTAACGGGAGAGTTCACCCAAAACTGAAGATTAGCCCATGATTTACTCACGCTGGCTCAAGCCATCCTAGGTGGATGAGATTCTTCTTTCAGACGAATACAATCGGAGTTATATTAAAAAATGCATTCATTCAAATGGCTGTTTCTGTTTTGAGGTTCGTAAAAGTGCATCTGTCCATCATAAACGAACCTCACACGGCTCCGGGGGGGTTAATAAAGGCCTTCTGAAGCGAAGCCATGCGTTTCTGTATGAAAAATAACCATATTTAACACGTTACAAAGTAAAATTCTAGCTTCCGGCCAAACGAACATACGCTACTTACGCCTAAAGAGCAATTTGTGACGTCAGAAGTAACGCAGTGTGTCATGGCGTAGCGTAAATATCAGCAGTGCGTCACGTTACTCGTATAAGTTGCGCTTTAGACTTAAGTGGAATCCGTATGTTGTTTGGCCGGAAGCTAGTTATTTTACTTTATAAAGTTTTAAATATGAATATTTTCTTACACGAACGCATCGCTTCGCTTCAGAAGGCCTTTATTAACCCACAGGAGCCGTGTGGAGCCCTTTTATCATGGATAGATGCACTTTTATTATGGATAGACTTTTATCATGGATAGATGCCCTTTTATCATGGATAGATGCACTTTTATTATGGATAGACTTTTATCATGGATAGATGCCCTTTTATCATGGATAGATGCACTTTTATGATGGATAGATGCACTTTTATGATGGATAGATGCACTTTTATGATGGATAGATGCACTTTTATGATGGATAGATGCCCTTTTATCATGGATAGATGCACTTTTATGATGGATAGATGCACTTTTATGATGGATAGATGCACTTTTATGATGGATAGATGCACTTTTATGA